TCCATCCATCCATCCATCCATCCATCCATCCATCCATCCATCCATCCATCCATCCATCCATCCAAATAATTAAAGCAAAAATTCATACATAAAAGCCAGAGAATAAAAGTGGGTCTTGACTGTGGTTTTTAAAATCCACATCAGTAATAATGCCAAGGCTGGTGTCTTAACGGCAAAACATATTCTTTAAACGTGCCAGGAAAATCCAACTGATCCATTATTCCAAAATGTTGAATATGTTTTGAGTTCCATCCATCCATTAAATTTCTTACACGCTTATTCCAAGTGGGGTCGCAAGGGGTGCTGGTGCCTGTCTCCAGCTGTCTACGAGCAAGAGGCAGGGTGCACCCTGGACAGGTCGCCAGTCCATCGCAGGCCAACACTAAGACAAACAGGACAAACAACCATTCATGCACGCAATAAAACCTAAGAGGACTTTAGAGAAACAAATTAACCTAACAGTCATGTTTTCGGAGTGTGTGGGGAAGCCGGAGTACCCAGAGAGAATCCATGCATGCTCAGTGAGAACATGCAAACTCCATGCAGAAAGATGGCCGGGAATCAAACCCAAAACCATCTTGCTGCAAGGCAGCAGTGCTACCAACTGCGCCACTGAGTAGCCCACGTTTTGAGTTGTAAAAACATAACCTCAGCATGCTTACAAACATTCGGTCAATAGGGGCCAATGGTTGTCTAAGACTCATTAAAGTGATAAAAGGGGACAGAATCTGCAGGACCAGATGAGGGTTTATCTTTGTTGATATTACCTATGAGTAATGAAAAGTCAACCAGTTGAAACTAATGGTTATTTACAGACTCTGCTGTTTTAAAAGCACCCCAGGCTAGTTCTCAGCAATTATACTTGATAACGCAACCTTTTTATTACATCACAGCAAGAAGCTAATCCAACTTAAATGCTTTATTTTGATTCCTAATGGGAAAAAAGAGGTTTATTTACTAAGATCTTATGGCACAGTACATTGCATTCATAGATTTAGACAAAGGGAGAGAAAATTAGCAAAAAGACAGGCAGCAAATTGTGGCAAAGAGGTCAGACTATCAACCCCTGTAGGCTGCGTTCAGGAGAAAAGGCTCTTTTATAAAGGGTGCCTGATCTCATTCCAAGTCATAACTTGTATATGTCATGTATTTTATTTTTTTCTATGATTCATTTCACTTTCCCACCATATTGATTCAAATCTGTGTCTCCTGTAATTCTGATTCATTTGTCATTGTTTGTCATATACGCTCTGACTGAAATGCTGCAAAGTCATTCATATTTCAACTGAAACTAAAACAAAGCTCTAGTTCTCTGGTTCATGAGGATGAGCCTAATTTGTAAGTTTTTATTTCTGATGTTTAGTATATAGTGATATATGATGGTGTACACTGAAACAATTAATTTGGCTCAAGATCAGAGTTTTTGGTTTCTAGTTACCTCATACAGTCCTCACATATAGACTGTATGGACGAAGGAAGCATAATCTTTCTCAGGATCTGCCGGTCATCATCGTTGCCGTGAATGTTTCTTGTGCACATCCATCTTTGTTGGGTGTGGCTCATCGCCAAAACAGGAAATGCCCCTACAATTAAAAAGCTTGCAAAGATCATAAAGACCCTCCTTCAGCAATCCTTACAAGCATAGGGACAAAAAAAGAGTTTTGTCAACCTCAAACATCCTTGTAAGTGGTTTTTCAAACTTTTATCTTTAAACCTGCACTATAGAGAACTAAGGGCAGAAAACAGCTGAGAAAACAGTTTCTTTCCCAAGGCTGACTCTCTGTTAATGTTCAACATGAGCAACGTAAACCAAAGTTAACTTCCTCCTTTCTGTTCAAAATCTTGGGCAATAAAGGTGATTCTTATCAAACAAACAGGTAAAGTTATATGAGATTTAAAAACTGCAAATTAATAGATTAGTAAATGATATAGTGGAGGATCATCCCAAATTTTGAAAGGACCCGCCCTCTCCACTTGAAAAATGCACATGCACAACCCTGTACCCACTCCCGAGGGGGAGCAACTATTGAACGCTACAGTAGATCATGCACAGGCCTATTTCTCCCTATAAATGCTCTGTTTAAAAGTTGCTGTTTGCATTGCTCATACAAGTTTACTTTTTAAAAGAAGAATGACTGACAATCAGGAGGACTACTTATTTTGATGATCCACGCAGAAAAAGAACATCCAGTATACCTTTAAGGATTCATTGAAACTGATTCAGCAGGGATTTTTTATTCTTGCTGTACCTATAATTTAGTAATTTTTTTGATGTTTCAAACTGTCTTGGATGTTCATCTCTTCATATCAAAAATATTATTTTCCAGCTGAGTTTCTATAGAAACCACCCACAGATGCCCCAGAGCATTTTATTAGTCAACTGTAGAGTAAAACTGTAGCTAACAATAGGCTCTTTATGGCAAAGATTTTCACAGTTCCACTCTCTAGTTTAAAAAAATGAAGGTGACCATATGACAATGATGTTTTCAATAATGAAATTCATAACGTCATGTGAAATGTAATTACTGATATTGACCCTATATTGAATATTGTTGATAAACTAAAATTTTCTTCATCATTAGTCCAACCTAAACTCTTACCCTGAACCTTCAGTGACTTTAGAGAGCATTTTCACTGCTCCTCAGCTTTAAAGCAAACTCTGTGAAAATGAGAGATGCACAAAAACCTTCAGCTTAACAAAGATGGGCTTATTATTTAAT